TATTGCACATATTAGTAAACAAACTGATTAGTTGCGTAATGAGTTTAAATTTTAGACATTTTTTAAAGTTGATAATCATAATGTACTTGATTAAACATGCTAATCGTGATGTAATTTGCATAGCTAATGTTAAATGCTCTTTTACTTTAGTTACTGCACTCAGTGATGCGCAGTTTTTCTTCTGTTCTGGAATTTTGAGATTGGAATTTCCAGACTTATTTTAAAAAGCGCGTTTTCGTTATAAATTTTCTTTACATCTAATCGTACCTTTCAAGTAGGTCATATTCTGTATAATCAATTCAATCGTTTTCATTTTTTATGTTTTAACATGTCTATTACCTTTATTAAATATGTTTTTAAGCATATTTGTTTTTATTTTTTATATCGAATAATAGAATGAATCAGGTTGAAGATGAAGGTTTGTATTTATTTAGATGTGTATTATGTTACAGATGTATAATGTTATGCTGTTACTTCTTAAATATATGTTTATTTTTAGTTGCTGAACTACTAAGAAGTAAGTTTTGTTCCATTTTGTTATAAACAAATGTTATAAATTGCATTTACATGTTTGTTAATTTAAGTTAACTTTACAATAGTAAAATGGTTTAAACGAACTTTAAGTTTTTGTAAATTAGTTTAATCCTGAAAGATTAATTATTTTTTTTATTATTGAAGAAACTAAACTAGATTAAAGAATGAGACGACTTGAATGTTTGTTTATTTTTCTATTTAGATGATGACAATAATAATGAAGCAAGTATGTTGAAAAGCATTTTTTAAATTTTAAAAAGAAATAAAAATACTTTTCAATTTATATCTATTTTCTTTGAATTTGTTTTCTTTTTAAAGTTTCAGGTTTTTGAAATCATATATATTATAAGATTTAGAAACGAGTCGACTTAAATGTTTGTTTGTTTTTCTATTTAGACGTTGATAATAATATTGAAGCAAGTAAGTTAAGAAAGCATTTTTAAATTTTTAAAAAGAAATAAAAATACTTTTCAATATATATCTGCTTTCTTAGAGGTAGATTTAAAGTTTCAGGTTTTTAAAATCATATATATTATAATATTAAATTCCTTTTTACTTAAAAAATATCTATTTTATAGTTACACTGAGTCGTAGAAAAATAATTAAAGTTTATTAATAAGGTTTTAGATTATTATAGTAGACTAAATAGTTTGATCTATTTAATCAACTTAATAACGTACTACCAAAGTGAGGATCTGTTTCGGTTGTTTGTTTGTTAAAATTTAGTTAGAGTTAATTTAAAATTAAAATTCTTTAGTTAATCAAGAGAGATCTAATAAAGGTATTAATTACATTAGTTAGTTGAATGTGACATTTAATATGTATTTTGTTATTATTTTAACGTCTAAACATTAAAGTGCTTTTATTGTTTAGATACAAAAGTGAAGAAGCAAATAAGTCAGTGTTTTTGCTATTAGATATTTGTTAATAGGAAATTGTTTATTTGTACTGCCACTGGAATTTTAAAAAATCAAGTTCTTGAGCTTTATTTTATATTTTCTTTTAGGGGAGTTGGAACAAAAACTAAGTATAAATTATGATTAGTTTAGTTTAATAAATAAAGCATTAATGTTTAGAAAATTTAAAGTTTACTTTAGTTTATAGTTTTGGTTTAGTTTATAGTTTTGTTTTTAGCTTTAATTATTTTTTTCTTACTTTAGACAACTTTATGAATGAAATGAGGAGGATGGGTTAAACAATTATTTAGATATGTATATATTTATATGTTAACATTATTTTATTGATTATTTATATTTATTTAAGTATATATTTGTCTTTAGTGTCTGGTGGAAGTATAGCTGATAGGGCTGTGTTTTATATTTTGTATATTTTGTATGGAGAAATATGTGCAATAGGTGGAAAAATTAATTAATAAATATGAGACTTTTGAACTGGTTGCATTATTGCCCTATATTTTTATTAAAATACAAAATCTTGCATGTTTAACCATTTTTAATTTGCTCTAGTTTTTTTTTAGCATCTTCTGTTTCGAATGAAAATGGTGAGGTTATGCTAATTTTTATTTTTTTAATAATTGCAAATGTATAATTTTTATTATATTCTTCTATTTGTAACTTTATATTCCTTATCATACGATCATTATAAAACTTACCGCTCCCAACACCCGGGACCTCTCTCAGAGAGGTCCTTCAACAAATGGAGAGATAATGGCGGAATGGATAAGCCCTCCTTCAAATGGAGAGCTCATCCATACCGGGGTGTTGGGAGACACCGAAGAAAAAACAGCAACAAAAGGTTGTAAATGTCTTCTATCAGTAGAGATATTTATGACTTTTTGGTTGCTGCTTTTTCTTCGGTGTTTTTTTTTTTTTAGTTTTGTAATTTTTTTTTTTGTAATTTTTTGTAATTTTTTTTTTTTTGAATATATATTATGTTGTACATTTGATTTGTTTTGATCTTTTTTAATGAAAATTTTAATTGTTTTCTCACCAATTAAACCTGAACTTCAAAATATATTTGAATTGATTCATTATCCAATTATCATAATATAATGATGCTGCATTCTTTTGTTAAAAACAATTATTTGGTAGTTTCATTTATTAAACTCACTGCTTTTTAAATTTACCAAAACCCAAGGCAATATATTTAGCTATATAAATATAATTTATTTATCTCAATTCGATTCTTTATCTTTAATGTTTATAGTTTGGCTCCTTGAAGCATTTTATGTTTTGCTTTTTTTATTATGAGTATTTTAAATCCGTTGTGATGTCTTTTAAATTAAACTAAAGTTTACTAAAAGCCAACATAAAAATAACGTTTTTGAACAACACCAAAAAGAACAGCTGCATTCTTTCAGCAACTGCTGCAGTATCACAATAGGTTACCAAAAGCAGGTATACTGTTTTCCAGTTGTTGTTTTTTTTTTCATATATATCTACTTATCTATATAATACTATAGTACAATTGTTTATATCTCTTTTTTTTTTTCTTTATCTTTAAGTGTTAATAATTTTGTTCTTTGAATGAGATTAGTTAAACAAGTCGGCTTTCCATTAAAGATATTGGTTTCAAAATTAAACACCATTGGCAAAATGCTTACAAATTTAGGTAGTTTTTAAAAATCTGTTTTCTATTTAATACACTTTTTTTTAAATATACTTTTTAAATATACTTTTTTAATATATTTTTCTATAACAATCCTACTAATACGGAATCACGTAGCTTTTTAAATATGTTTAATTGTCGTCCCTATCGGTAATAGATATTTTAAATTATTTGATATGGTTTTATTTACAATAGGCTATGCTTGGCTCCTCGGTGCTGTAAATGGTGGCTTCAACTTTGTTTCTTTAAGAAAAATGTGTTTTACATATGCTTCTGTTTTAAAATATTTTTGTTACATATTTAACTATATATCATGTATATAAATTTCTTTTAAAGATATGTAAACTTGATACTTGCTTTTTTACGGATTTTCAAAAAGTGAACAAAGGTTTAAATATATTTTTTAACTGTCTTATATGGTTTTATCAATTTTATTAAAGCTGAATAATTACTTCAAAAATATTGAGTAAAATCCAATTGCTTTTATTATTAACCTGATCTATGCAAAAATTAATGAAATAAAACTAATAATTTAGCGCCAAGTTAAGGCAAAATGTATTCCGGACATTTTATAAAATTAATATAAATATGGATTGCATGTATGCTGAAATAAATATGTTGATATACGTTAGCTATAAAGTAAATCAATATATTCCTTTATTGTTTTCTTATAAACAAGTTTCTGCTGGATTACTAATTAAAAAAAAGGTTGGTTTAGTAATAATCTTTATCATATAATAATTTAGGATCCGTATGCAGGGCTAAGCCTTTTCCGGAATTGCGATATATTTTTCAACTTATAGTAATTCCGGATATTTAACTTCTATGCCTAAAGGTTTGGGTGTAATATTTTAGATGTTTTAAAAATATTTAAAAAGTATATTAAAAATATTGAAAAGTTTAGGTGCGATAGTGACATATTTTTAAGCTCTTCACTCAGTAAAATGAAAAGTTTAAAAAAAAAAGAAACGACTCAGCTTAAAGCAAAATTAAGAGTAAAATATATTCCCAATATTTATCTAAACAATTTTACGGAATTTGAAAATTTGACATCGATGTTCTGTGCATATTATTTAAGTCATTTTTAACTACTACATGGTTTTAATTTGCCCATTCAATGTCTGAACATTGCAAAAGAAATGGTTAACTTTATCTTTAATGAAGCTAAGAGTCCTCTTAAACTAAGAAGCCAAAAATAATAAAAGTGAGCACAACTAAAAAAATGTATAAATAAAGTTATATTTTATTAGAGAAAGTAAATAAATATCAAATTGTTAGTAATGATTTATTTACTTCTAACCCGTATTACGGGTTGCTTACTGTATAAATAAATTTATATTTTATTAGAGAAAGTAAATAAATATCAAATTGTTAGTTATGATTTATTTACTACTAACCCGTATTAAAGGTTTGCTTACTGTTAGTTTTTTTATTAATATTGCTTCATTGCTGCGATGCTGTTTTAAAAACAAAGATCACACCAAGTATCGTCTTAGTAAATATATATATATATATATATATATATATATATATATATATATATATTATATATATATATATATATATATATATATATATATATATATATATATATATATATATATATATATATAAATGTATATATATATATATATATATATATATATATATATATATATATATATATATATATATATATATATATATATACATATATATGTATATATATATATATATATATATATATATATATATATATATATATATATCAAACTAAAAAAATAAGGTTTTTTTAAATAAGTCAAACATTTTAAAATTTTTTAATTTTATAGAACACCTGTATAAGTCAAAAAATTAAAAAATTTTAAATCTTATTAAACACCTGTGTCATTATCTGTATCATTATCTAAATAACTTACCAATATTAGAAAACCAAAGTAAAGACTCATTTGAACGATTTAGGTTAACAAGAAACTTTATTAAATTATTTCGGCTTTTATTGTTTGTTAATCCACAAATCATAGATAAACAACTTCTTAACTTTTTATTGGCCATAATTTCTTTACGACTTAAACAATTATATGCATAAACAGATACACAAAACTCCATTATTGTCAAATGCGCAAACTGATAGTAACAGCCTAGATTTGTCTCAACTTTTTCGATAAATCCAAAAAGATTACTATCATTTTGATCAAAGTCATTGATAAAATTTTGAATTTCTTCTTTGGAAAATATTATTTTATTTTCAATAAATAACTGATAAGCAATTTTACAAACATTTAAAATATTATTTTTATTAAAACTGTCTTCCATTATCACGTAAATCAACTTATCGTTTTTAATGACGTGTTTTTGCAAAAAGTATAAGAAAATATTTGCATACAATTCTGTCATAGTTAAGAAGGAATTTGTATATATTTTATTTGAATCACCAATAATTTTACACATTGAAGATAAGTAAAATGGAACAGATGCCATGGCCTTTGCAATAGGTGACTCCTTTAAAGTTGTTTTTACAACTTCTTTTTTTTCCTCTTTAACGTGGTTTTCTATATAATTGTTGATTCCATTTTCATTAAAACCCATTATTTGAATAGTTGACTTATCACTATGCTCTGTATATTTACTTTGGTATTGATCAATTGCATAAACCCTACCAGCAACTACATGCTTACATTTTTTAATATCTGCTAATACACTGACAATTTTATATTCACACTTCAAAGTCGGATTTACTAATTCATTTAAATATTTAAACTCATCTAATCCATCAATCATAAACATAACAGAATGATTGTTGATATCAAAATCGTTTATAACGTCACTGTAGAAAATATTAAGTAATTCATTAATATTAGAAACATTTTGATATTGATTAAGTCTCCTGCATTCCAAATAAAACACAAGTTCAACATTTTTCCAAATTAAACTATTTGACCAATCAAGTAAACATTTTCTGAGCAACCATGTTTTCCCAATACCAGCTATTCCAGATATTAACATTACAGATTTTTCTTTAATAAATAATTCACTATATGGGATTGGTGTATAACTCATTTGCTTTTTAAGAAATTCTCTTCGTTCAACACTAAAAACAAAATCCAATTGAGTATTCACTGCATCAACAATACATAGATCAACAAAAGTATGTACCAGATCAACATTTGCAGGTGTTTTTAGTAATGTTTGAACTTCATTTATTTTCCGATTATTTACAAGATAATAGTTTTTCAGTGCTGCACATATCTCTGATATATCTAAATGTAAATCATATGTAATCATCGTCATCATCATCATCATCATCATCATCATCATCATCATCATTGTTATAATGTATTACCTTTTTTGACATGAATTTTGCTAGCAATTTTAGGTATATTTGAAGAATCTAAATAAAAGTTATATAAAATTATTATTTTTAACTTCTCATTTAAGGTTGTATATATCTTTTTATATAACAATTTTATACTATCAGAGTTGAATATAAGATTAACCAAATATCAAATACTTATTTATCTAATCATTGAAGTTTGATTCACTTAACTTTAATAATTTTTGAATATTGCTTCACCAACTTTAAGAAAGACTTATATGCAATAAATGATAACTTATATATAGTATATTGTATATATCCCGGCAAACATGTAAGCGTTGAATCAACGTTGAAAACTAAATCGCGGTATATTGAAACGTTGAATAAGCGTTGAAATTGTAACTTAATTAAGCTTCTCAAAATAAAACGTTTATTCAACGTGAAATTAACTTACGCAAAAAGCCACTTTAAAAACGATTTAAAATATAAGCTTTATCAACGTTAAAAACAAACCGCTTTTTAAACTTTGCATTTTCAACGTTGAATAAGCGTATAAATTTTAACGTTTCTTCTCAAAAAATTGCGTTTATTTAACGTTGAATAAAAGTACGCAAATAATCACTATAAAAACGTCGCAAAGTTTATGGTTTATCAACGTTAGGTATTAGCTGCTTTTTCAACGAATTTAAACTATTTATAAAACAACGCTTATTCAACGTTACATATTGGGCAAAGTGACCAATTAATGGCCACATTTTTTTATAAATTGTCGTGAAGGATGTCTTAAACTAATAATGAATTTTTTTTTACTGTTTTATTAATGACCAATGCCTTATACAAACCTTTTTTAGTTTTAAAACATTTTTAATTCAAACAAAAACTTATTTAAAATGAGATTTTAAATTCGTATCAATTATTGGCCGGGAAGACCAAATATTAGCCAGCAAGTTAAAAAACGGTGTCTATTATGAGCCACTTACATTATCTAAAATCAATTTATCTAAGAATACTTATATATCGAAAAGTATTATTCAGACAAACGAATAAAGCCTAAAAAAGAACTTGCATCTACCTTAAAAAACTAAAAACCAAGATTTTTTTTTTAAAGTAATATATTCTATACTTCGCTTAAAAATATTATTTTGGTTGATATTAAACAAAAAAACTTAAACAGTTTTTATTTATTATTCAAATTAAGATATTCTATCAAAAAGGAAATACAAAATAAGTTAAGAAACTTTTTAATTACTTTTATAGAAAGTCAAGCATAAAACAAATTTTAAATAAAAAATAGCTTTAGCGCATAGCTATTTTAATAATAATGCAATTTTCAATATATGGACAATAAGTTTTGCAATAATATGTTAGAAGTTTTTATAATATTAAAATAACAAGAAGAAGTTTTAACAATAAATTACTAATGAACTGTTGATAATAATCTATTTACATTAGCTCACTAGTATTATTATCGATGGAGATAATTGCATTATCTGGTACTTTAATACAGATATTTTGATTATCTGAAGAGATATTGAATTCCAATATCTTTGGAATTTAACTAAATTTTCTCATTCTAACTGAGTTTTTGCATCTCTATCTCCTGTTTTCTTTGTGCTTTATTTTCTTTTTTTTTTTTTTTTTTTTTTTTGATTTTTCAATTTTTTCTCTTCAGCTGCTGCATTTTTTTTTCTTCTTATCATTTACTTTAGATTGCATTGCTTCTTGAGAAGTAAACACAAAATGTTTTTGAACCAATTTTCGATTTTCTTTTGACTTGATCGTATATGCCTTTGATAAGGCAAAGTATCATTGTCACTATCATTATTTGAATGATTTGTACACAACATAATTGGTGTCAGACTAGGCTGAACAATGACTCCAATTGGCATATGATTACAATCATTAATGGTTTCATCGGAAAAAAAACTAGTGGTTTCATTGGAAAAAAAACTAATGGTTTCATTGGAAAAAAAACTTTCTCAGTTATTTCATTGGGAACAGGAATTTGCTGAACAAAAGCTTCATTTAAAAATGGAATAGTAACTATGGATTCAGTTGGTATCGGAACTAGTCATCTATTTTAAAATGGTATTTGTACATGAAATCTGTTTTATTTTGAATTTTTTTATATAATTTATGCAAGGGATCTGGGATGCCGTAGCCATTTTGAAAACAGAAATTAAAAGTTGTAAATTGCTCATGAGTCAAATGAGTATCCCATATCAAAGAATTATGGTCTAGGTTTATCAAATTATTATCTATTTTACATTCAGACATATTTCCAGGTTTATTAACTAATTCTACTTCAAAATGAACTTCTTCTATTGCATATTCTGATCTTGTTATCATAGTGTCAGTTTTGATTGGATGCAGACTTGATTCTAGCAGATCATTTGAGTCAAGTAGCTGTTGTATTGAATAGACAGAATTAGGCAAGTAAGCTGTGCTTGGAACAGCAGACGGATTGTATGGATAAATACCACATGATCGAAACCCTGAAATAATATTAGCCGCTGTGAGAGCTTGATCCCAGGCTTTTACAAAAAGCCTTCAAAAAGTTGACCTGTCAATAGTAATTCCAGCATATTCATTCATTAACTCATGACATGTTTGATTATAATACGTTTTAAAATATATATATATGTAAAATTATTATAGGTAGCTTTCATTACATGAACACCAGTTGGCCAAAATAACCATCCATCTATTACCAAACAAGATGGAACAACTGCCTCTATTTCAAACCAGTTTTTAAAATAAATACCTAAAGCCCAAAATTGTGAAGTCATTACAATACGTTACCTAAACAGGCAGATTTTTTTTTTTTACATATTTGTATCTAGCTATCTATCTATCTATATAAATATATATATATATATATATATATATATATATATATATATATATATATATATATATATATATATATATATATATATATATATATATATATATATATATATATATATATATGTATAAGAGAGACATATTGTGTGAGTATGTATATAATTATTTAAAAAATAAACATGTATATATTATATACATGTTTATTTTTTAAATTACAAAATATCGTATGTATAAGAGAGGCATATTGTGTATATATAATACATATATATGTATGTATAAGAGAGGCATATTGTTTGAGTATAATATATACATGTTTATTTTTTAAATTACAAAACATCGTCATGTCTAATCATTTTTATTGAAAAATATATATATATTTAAAAATTAAATACATATATATATTGAATTTTTAATTTGTTACGCATTTAAAAACAATTTAAAAAACTTTCTTTTCCTCATTAGTCGTATAAAAATTTCTTCTCCCTCGTAAACATTTTCAAAACATGACAGCTATGCGTATACACGTAAAAAATATATATTCATTTATATATATATATATATATACATATATATATATATATATATATATATATATATATATATATATATATATATATATATATATATATATATATATATATATATATATATATATATATATATATATATATATATATATATATATATATGTATATATATATATATATATATAAATATATATATATATATATATATATATGATATATATATATATATATGTATATATATATATATATATATATCATATATATATATATAAGTGATAATTTTTATATATCATATATATATATATAAGTGATAATTTTCAAATAAACTAAAATATTTAGTCTGTTAACAGACTTAACTTAGTCTGACTTGTTATGTTTTATTAATTTTGAAAATATTTTATACATCTGAATCTTATTAAAACTAAATACTATTTCTATCTAAGAAAAACATATTTTAAAAAATTGAGCATTTTATTAAAATGGTCAAGTTAAAATAAATAAAACATTGACATTAATAACCTGAATAAATCGAATTTACTTTAAGATTTATGTTTTTTATGTACATTTTGATTTAAAATCTAAAAGTTTTAAATTAGTCACAATAAAAATAGTTTATAAAATATAACTTTATTAAATTATTTTTTATACCTTATGCATGCATTCTAAAATGCATGCATATGGTATAAAAAATAATTTAATAAAGTTATATTTTATAAAGTAATAATGGCCGGTTCTTATTATGAGCCAAACTTGGGTCCGCTTTGATTGCATTTGTTTATTTGGCGCAACATTTATCTAGTTGTTGATTATACTTTTCTGTTTCTTTAATATACCTATGATTTAGTTTAACTTTTATAAATATTTTTCTCAATCTTGACTCAAAGGAAATCTTATATGTTTCAATGTTATTTTAAGTGAATATTTTATGTTGTAAATAGTCATTTTTGGTTTTTTCATGCAACTTTGAGACAAATTTAACGCAATATTTTTTTTGGTACGGCTTTTTGGTTTATTTTGATCTGTTATGTACTTTAATATTTTTATGTAAACTGTTTTGTTTGTCAATATACGATTGGCAGAAGCATCAAATGTAACATAAACTCCCAGATTTCAAACAGGTCTTAATAATAGCCACTTATTTAACCAAATAGGAGCCACGTAATATCGTATTATTACGTGGCTATTATTAGGACAATAGTTAGTTTGTTGTGTAATTTATAGTTCAAATACAAATTGTGTCACAATAAATTTAACTTATACGTCCTTATTACAAAAGTTCTAATAACTTATATTTCCTAATTGTATCCTTATTATAATTATACTTAGTGTTTATACATGGTAAAGTAAATACTGGTTATAGTTAATATAAGCCTTATATTAAGGCTTATATAAACTATATTACTTATATTTAACCATTGTACTTATGTATGCTATTTCAGTTACATTGATGTATAGATATGTATGTGAGCATACTTTATGCTTGTATATGTTTTTGTTTGTGGTATCTGTATATAACCTTACAAAAATCTAATGTAAATATATCATCATGGCAATGATAATATATTTACATTAGATTTTTTTTAAAATAACGCAATGTTTTTTATTCTTGACTTTTTTACAATAATAAAACTCTGAAATAAACTAAAATTAAAAAACAGAAGTCTTTACACAGAAACAACAAGGAACAAAAATTTACATGAT